CTTGATGGATTGGGTTGTACTTTCCAATTTGGTGATCTAATTGGGAGTATGGTTTTTATACTGTTGGATTATGGTTTTCCAACTTATTTGGTGTGATTTAATTTTAACTATTAATATTTAAGTTTCCATGATCAGAAGAAAAACTTAGGTATGCTTGTTTGTAGAGAAACCGTCCACCTGTTGTTGTTACATATAAGGGTTTTAAAATCCTTATTCAGACTTATCGTATTGACAACTTTCAGAAGGGGGTAAAATTATTTAATTTTTTCAGAATAAAGAATTCTCAAAGGTATCTAAAGTTTAATTTTCTAATCAAGTATGATATTAAGAACCTCTCTTTAATTCATGATCAATTTTGATTTCTACATGTTATTTATTATTTAAACCCAACAGTTCTTCCTAGCTATTGTACTAGAGATGTCTTAGTTTATGTCGCAGAAGGGTAAGTTGTTGAGGCTTCATTTTGATAATCATTTAAACCGAAAAAGATGATTTATGTTCAAATTTATGAAATCAAATTTTAGAATTTTAAAATGAAGTTTGAGTTAGCCGATTTTTTTTTTTAACAGGTGTCCTGCCATGAAATATTTGAAGCTGTCCTATCAAATCTAATCACAGAAGAATTATCCATTGCTCCAAGTCTCATAAAAGAGTGGAAAAATTTACAGGTGCTAAGGCTTGGACGCTGCATTGATATGGAAGCAATGATAGCAATCCTTACCCAAGTCAGCATTCATTGCAAGAATTTTATTGATTTCGGCATTTCAAGAGCCTACGTCGGGGAAGATGAAGCATGGGCTATAGTCACCTTACTGAAGAACATAAAGTATTTGGACCTAAGCCGGGCGTCGCTCGAACGGGAAAATCTTTTGACCATTTTGAAGGGCTTCAATAAGCTTGTGCATTTTGATGTTAGGAACTGGAAGGGTTTGAGGTTGATGATGAGATATTGAAGCTTGCTTCTCATATTCCTACTTTTTTGTATGAGGGTTCAATAGTACGCTCGGACTGGAAGAGAGCTATGGTGACGAAGAAATTGCCAATATATATTTCTCCTTTTAATATGTTTGATGATCACTACTATTACTATGATATTTAATGTTACATCTCTGATGATTCAGATGGAAAACTGTGAGATTAGTATGTTCTGATCTTGAATTCTACATATATCTCACAGCCTTTGTTTTATTTTCTTTCTTCAGTTTATTGTTGTGATTTGTTCTTTTTCTTGACCTTTTTATAACATTCCATGGTTCTCAATTGTAGTAGTTGTATTCAGTTGGTTACATCTACCAAATTATACTCACAGTGATATAAATGGTTTAACAATATTTTAAGTGTAAGCATTTGCTTAAACTTTTGAAAGAAGGAAAAAAAAAAATTAATTACATGAGAGCTTTGTCCTCTAAATACAATGTGAACTACCTACTCATAAGCGCATGCATTTGTACGAAGATTATTAATACATGAATTCAGGAAAAAACAAAAAAAAAAAAAAACAAAAAGGAGAAGAAGATTTATACATTTATTTACCAAAAAGAAGAAGAAGAAGAAGATTTATACGTGCAATTATGCAATTGGACATATGCTTAATTAATTACATGATTAGAAACTACTTTTTCCATTTTACTTAGGTTAGCTAGTTAAAAAAATTGGTTATTTCTCTAGTGCTTCCACATGATTTTCCAACAGAAGCTTTAGTTTATTAGTATCTTTTAATGTCATGAACTTTAAAGAATTTTAACCATTTAAGAGTGCGACTGTGTAAGGACGGTGACTTATGGCCTGCCACTAACACTCCTCAATTAATAAAAACTGATCCACTTGTTTTTTAACTTTCTCATATGGGGGTAGTGAGTCCCACAACTGGTGGGCTAAAACTCTCTCTTTATGTATATATACTCGATCATTATTTATTAACAGTTTAAACAGAAAAGTTTAACATTTTGTTTAATTGAAAAAGTTATTTTTCAAGAATTTTTTTTATTTTTAAATTTTTGGGAAAAGCAATGGCATGGGTGCTTTGCTTTTCTCCAAAATTTAACCTCTTTTTACAATAATTTCTAGTTACCATACAATACAACTCCTTTTGACTCTTGGAGAACTCTGCCCATTAATTTCTCGCCTTCTATATATCATACAATACAACCCCTTAAATTGCTAGATGTATGGTACTAGATCAACATTAGATCAAAACTATAAGGTCCATTTTCAGGTTTGATTTTTACCCAAATGTCAGAGTTAAACTGCTTTGTATGGCTTTTTGTAGTTTTCAATCTGTATTTACGTCCTATCCATTTAATGTTTACTTGTGATTTTCGTTGATGTAGATGGAAGAGCCAAAATGGGAAGAGTTGGACGCGGATTTATTAGCGAATGTATTCGAGAAAGTGGAAATGGAATCCTTGCAATTGGATGTTCCTTTTGTGTGCAAATCTTGGTTCAAAGCTACTCTCAGTCCACAATGTTGGCGCACTCTTATTTTTCCTGAAGAATTAGGTATCATCATATCAAGATTAATCAACGAGTACGGACTAAAAAAAAATCTTGATGTCACTGAATTCATTAAGTTTGTTGTTAGTCGCAGTGATAAATCTGTTGTTTCTCTAGTGCTTCCCAATTATTTACCAGAAGAAGTGTTGGTTTATGTAGCAAATGAGCAAGTGTTCCATCGTTTTCTTTTAATGTTACTTGTGAAAAAAACTATTTAGAATTTATTTTGGAGTGAAATTTTACTGCCAGGAGTCCGTCCTTGATATATTTGGAGCTTTCAGGCGACTCATCCTGGAATATGACACTTCATGGCTTTGCTTCACTCTTGCCATGCATTATGATTTTACCAGACCTCATATTTAAGTGGAAATGTTAAAATTCGGGAAATCTCCGCTAGGGCTGTGGATACAAGAAATTCTTGGCCAGGTAAGCCTTCACTGCAAGAATTTTTTTGGGCTGGCAATTCCAATAGCTTTTTGTAGATGCAACTAAATATCTCTCTCTCCTTTCACAGAGTTTCATTACATTTTCAATAAATCCCCCCCTTTACATCCTCTCCTTCCTGCCTATTTATAGGCATTTACAAGTGCTATAAGTGATTCCCTAAGTTGGGTCCCTCGACCTCAGGCCTTATTCTTTATGGGCTTAGCTCTTCTCGGGAGATCCCATGCATTCGGCCCATTCCGCAACGTCATCGTGTGGACTGAATCCAATTTCTCAGCCCGATCCTCTTTTTGTGGGTCATATCCGGCCCATGTCATTTCCGGTATCCTCACTTTTATTCGGAATGGGGAGCATTGGCTATTGTGGAGTTGCTGCCAAACATTAAGTGATTTTTGCTATTTTTATTTATTTTTTTATTTTTTATGAAAAATTATAGACACATAATTTTTATTTTTTATTTTTGACAATGTATGAAGTTATAATGCCTTTTCTTTTATGGTAAGTCTTGTAATTTATTTATTATTATTTTTTATATTTATGAAAAATAGGATGATTTATTTTATTTTATTATTTTTTTATTACCTTTCACTTTTTTTTAGGGCTGCAATTCGGGCAGGTTAGACAGGTTAGACGCATTTGAGATATAACTTGAGCTCAACCCACCATATAAAATACTAAACCAAATCCCAACCCTAACCTTATCGTCAATCTTAACTACTCAACCCAAACCTAACTTATCCTTCTACTTTTAAATTCGGGCTTAGATTACGGGTAAAAATTTCGGGTTAATTCAGGTTACTTATATAGTTAATCCTTACACCAAAAATTTAATATGATCTTGAATTAATTTTAGATTAAATTACTCTTAAAGAAAAAGTTTAAAGACGTTTTGTAAATTTTTAATAAATTGCAAACAAATTTTTGAAAAATTAATTCTCCTAAATATTAACATACAATAGGTTAAGATTTAACAAAAGAAGTTGAAAAGAAAAAAAAAAAGTAATTATAGTTTAAATATTATATATAATGTATTTAAAAGTAAAAATATATACGAAAATAATATTAGAATTCGAGTTTGGGTTGGCTCGGGTTTTTAACACTTCAACCCCAAGTCCAACTTTTATTATAAAAATAATTGTCCAAACATGTGAAAAATCGGGCTGAGCTTGGGTTGGGTTCGGTTTACCCAACCCAAGTTGGACCCTACTTTTTTCTTTTCTTTTTATTTTTCTCTTTTATTTATTTATTTATTATTTTTTTTACCCTCCAATTTTGAAAGGGGAGTCTAGGGTTTGTTACTGCTTCTCCCAAGTGAATTGCTAGAAGCCTAAATTGATCACCTTCCCTCCCACAACCTCGTGAATCGTGGCAACTGAAACAAACCCTAGGATTCCCAAGGTTAGAAAGCTTCAGGTATATATATATATATATATTTACATGAGTATATCTTTGTCTTTGCGTGTATTATATACCCTTTTGTTGTTTTCTCTCTTTGCGTGTGTATGAACACCACCTGATCGACGAAATTACAAACTGGATATGTTACACAATTCGGTGATAGAGAAGACACAAACGATAAATTTTGAAAGATGTGATTTCTTATGCTTGTATGTGTAAAAATTCGACGTGGATTTGTATACTTCAACTGGTTTTTTAGTTCTCGTTTCTGAATTATTTTTATTTTTTTACCATGATTTTTTCCACTTGTCTAATAAAATATAAAATTTTTATGATAGATAAAGACTGGATTGAACCAGAAACAAAATATACCGGAGGAGGGAAACCCTGAAAACAGAGCCTTAGCTCAGAAACATCAAAGCACAACTAACGTTTAAATTCTGTAGATTCTCGTTTGAAGATTTTTGATGAAAAGTTTAAATTCTCCACCATTTTTTACAGAATGAATGGCTCTAATATAATGTAGTAATTTCAATTATGTGATCAAAAGTGAAAAGTATCTGCATTTCGCTAGTGGGAGAAGTTGGTAAATTTTTTTTTTTTAATCTCATTCTATTATAAATAATCATAAAATTCACAGCTGCCTTGACATTCTCTTCATATAGATGGCAGAGCGAAAATTGGAAGAACTAAATATGGACTGTTTGGTGAATGTATTTGGGAGATTGGAAATTGAGTCCCTGCTATTGGGTGTTCCCTTTATATGCAAGTCATGGTACAACGCAACTCTCAATCCTCTATGCTGGCAGCATCTTGATTTTCCTTGTGAAATCTCAGACTCCTTCAAATCAAGATTAGTGGATGAATATCGATTGCAGAAGTTTGATGCAACTGGATTGATTAAATTTGTCGTCAATCGTAGTGGTGGAAAGGCTGTTTCACTAGTTCTTCCGAGCTGTTCTAAAAAGGAGGCATTCATTTGTGCTGCAGAAGGGTAAGTTATCATAGTTTTCATATCAATTTTGGACACTTGAATGCTACAAAGCCTACCATCGAAGATGAATTTGGGAAGTTAAAAATGAAGTGTGAGTAGCACTGCTAGGAAACAAGAAAGAGAAAAGAGAGGAGATAATAGGATCTCTACCTTATTGGTAATTCGGAAATAAGCATCTTCATTTATTGATTAAGACTTAAGTTTATCATGGTGGTTTGATTTTGTATAGCCCAAAATCTCTTGGTTGTTCCTAGTTACTTTCTGCTCTAAAATTTCATCAATTCATCCAAATTGTTTCTGTTAGGTCATTTAGTTTGCAGAATATATTATTGAAAGGAAAGGAACGACGAGTGAAGGAAATCCTCTTATTTGATGTTTGGTTATCATGGAAAGTGATGGGGAAGAAGACGAGGGAAAGTAGGGTGAAATATCCAAGTTTACATGCCATTTCCCTTTTCTTTTTCTTTTTCCAAATCATTCTTTTTAAACAATTCTTTACTTTCTGATCTTATTTAGCTTAATGGTTTCTGTTTAGAATGGGGTCCCTTGGTTTGTGTGTGGTGAGTGGTCTAGATGACCACATTTTACCAATTGAAAATTTCCTACTTTCTTACCTTTTATCCTAACAAGGCTTTAAAAAGAACGAAATGATAAATTTTACTTCTGAAGAAAAATTTGAGAATTTCTTTCACAATGATTTCTGTGGTCAGGTGTCCTGCCTTGAAATTTTTGACGCTCCCCGATGATCTACACTGGGGTGAGCTGCATATTCTTCCCAGTCTAATGAGCAAATGGAAAAATTTACTGATGTTACGGCTTGGAAGCTAGCATCGCTTACATGGAAGAAATCATTACTGAAGCCAGCCTTCATTGCAAGAATTTTGTTGATTTAGGAATTTCCTTAGCCTTGATGGACACCGATGCAACATGGGTCATAGTCACCTTACTGCCAAACCTTTAAGTATTTGTATTTAAGGCATGCATCCTTTAGGTGGCCAAATCTTGTGAGGATTTTGAAACGCTGCAAGAAACTTGTGCATTTGATATTGAAACTTGCTTCACATATTCCTACCTTCTTGTATGAGGGTTCAAGAGTGCGCATGCCGTTGGAACGGGAAGGGAGCTCGAGCGATGATGACATTGGCTGTTCTTTAGCCGAGCATAGTTTTGATGACCGTTAGAGTTATGGTTACATCTCTGATTAAATGGTTGGCTGGTTGGTTAATATGGAGTGTTGCCATTGTTTATTAATCTAGAGTTGGTTACGTGTTTCGATGATTCAGATGAAATAGAGGGGGACTAGTATGCTCTGTTCTTGAACTCTACATATATCTCAGCTTTTGTTTTCTGGTTTTTCATTTCATCAGTTTATTGTTAGTTATAACTCTCAAATTGGACAGTGTCTGCAAATTAACTAAAAAGGGCTTGTGTAATTGTATTCCTCTTGAACTCTCACTTTTTTTAAAAATTTGCAGATATTAAAGGTTGGACACGTTAGTAATTTGGAAGAAATCATTACCCAAGCTTACCTTCATTGCAAGAATTTAATTGAATTTGGCATTTCACATACCTACATTGGGGAAGCTGAAGCAAGGACTATAGTCTCCGTGCTCAAGGACATAAAATATTTGGACCTATGGAGGGTAGCCCTGGAGCAGGAAAATCTTTTGATCATTCTGAAGGTGTGTAAAAAACTTGTGCGTTTGGATGTCAGGGGCTGCGAAGGTTTTGTGGTTGACGATGAGATACTGAGCCTTGCTTCTCATATTCCTACCTTCATGCACGGTCATGATGATTACACTTTCTGGATTTTTTAGTCTTTTCCAGTGTTTGTCAATCTGAAGTTGTTATTTTAAAAACCAAAATGTTTCTAGGTTTTTTTATCAACTTTACCCCCATTTTTTTCCCCCGGTTCTTCAATTTATCAGTGTATTGTTAGTTGTGATTTGCCTTTAATCCTTTTTCAACTTTTCTCGGTTCTAAATCTTTTTTGAACTTTGCAGCAGTTGTGATTCAATTAGTTTCATAACATATATTCCTCGATGATTTTGAATTTTTTTTGGTTTGGTTAAGAAAATGTGAGGTATGTGATGGGATTGACATGATATTTGACTGTGTTACTCATAAAGTTGCACATTGGCTAAAAAGACATAACAAAATAACTATGAAGTCTTGCATTTATATTTAGGATATTTAAAATGCACAAAAAGTCGCTTGAAATTTCACCTTTTTTTTACATATTTCCTTCCATTTTAACAATTTTTATTAAGACTCCAACATCCCTTAGTTGGCAATGTCAAGAGTAGGCAAGAAAACAAATTTTCATTTATCAGCCTTCCACATTTTTCCGAGGAACATTGTGAGATGATTATATGAATGAGATTAACCAAAAAAAAAAAAATTAACAAAAAAAATTGAATCCAACATAAAACATGGGAAATTTATAATCATCTAGCAAGTTTTTACTCTCTCACATTGTTTAATTGTTGAAAAAGTCGTTTTTCAACAATTTTTTATTTTTCTGGGAAAAATAATGGAAAAGGGAGCGTTGCATTTCTCGAAAATTCAACCTCTAATTACGATAATTTCTCCTTACCAATACAAATTATACAAAATTTTGAAAAAAAATACAAATTATACAACTCCTTTTGACTCTTGGAGTTCTCTGCCCATTAATTTATTGCCTTCTATATATCATACAATACAACTCCTTAAATTGCTAGATATATATCAACATTAGAGCCCTATATGGTCCATTTTCAGGTTTGATTGATTTCCAAGTGTCAGAGTTAAACTGCTTTGTATGGCCATTTGTAGTTTTCAATCTCTATTTACGTCCTATCCAATTAATATACGTACGTTTACTTGTTCATTGACGTAAGTCGAAGATTTGGACACGGATTTATTGGTGAATGTCTTGGAGAAGTTTGGAATGGAATCCTTGCTATTGAATGTTCCCTTATGTGCAAGTCTTTGTTCAAAGCTACTCTCGGCCCACTATGTTGGCGTACAATTGTTTTTCCTAAAAAATGAGATATCTTCATATATATCCAAATTAATCAACGCCGACTAAAAAAAAAAATGATTTGTCTCAGCATTATCTTCATATCAAGATTAAGCATTTAGGACTAAGAGAAGAATTTTTTTCTCTAATGGAACAGTTTACTGATGATTTTAGAGGGCTGCAAAAAGCTTGTACATTTTGATATTAGAGGCTGCGAATTTTTTGAGGTAGATGATGAGATATTGAAGCTTGCTTCTCATATTCCTACCTTCTTGAATGGGAGTTCAAGAGTATGGAATCCCGATTTGGTATCGGGAAGGAGCTTGAGCAATGAAGACATTGGCATATCTTTTCCTGAACTTTGTGTTGATGAAGGCATGCATCCTCCTTGCTTTAGAGGAACTTTGTTTTGAAGACCACTACGGTTACGGTTACATCTCTAATTAATGGTTATATGGTTTGCTAATGTAGAGTGTTTCTAAGTTAATTAAGCTAGAGTTGGTTTGAGGAAAACTAATGTGTTTCTATGATTCAGGTGAGTTAATACTGTGGGGGCTAATTTGTTCTGTTTTTGAACTCAACATGTATCTTAGCTTTTGTTTTCTGGATTTCCTTTCTGCAGTTTACATAATGAAAATTTCTTCCTATGTTGAATTGCAAGTATGCAACTTAATTACCTTAATAAATAAAAAAAATGCAACTTAATAGGGCCTTAAAAAGTTAAAAAAAAAAACACACACCTCAAATTTTAATTTATTTTATTCTTTCCAATAAGTTACATACCCCATTTTTTTTTTAATTCAAGCTTTCGGTCAGTTTTTGACACTCACTTTTGTCCCATCAAATAAATATGTAACTTTATTTATTTAAAGGGTGGTTTTGACATTGCAAAAATTAAACTAATGGATACGAAACCTAATTATCAAATTCTAGAAGAAAGTAATAAAATTGTTAAATTTAACATGGCAATAAAATAAGGTTCATATTTATTGGAAAGGAAGGTGAAGGTTTGCACAAAGCAAAAAGAAAACCATGTATTTCACCAATGTCTAAAATAAAATAAAATAAAATAAAAAACAAAACATAACATAAATAAAAAATTGCATAGCATTCTTCACGTGTCACTGGAACGCCCATGCATTCTCCTTACGGACCTCATCTTCTTCTTCAGTAGTGAAGTCATTCTTAATGTTAAAAATCTTGCGAATCTCCTCTGGAGTCATATCTTTGATAATATCTGCCACAGTTTGACATGTCAGATCTAACAAACTCTTGATGTCCAAATAGTTTGCAGCCAAGATGAGATCAAAGAGGGTGGCTTGGTCAACTTTGACAAAGTTGGCATCAAAGGTTTTGAAGATATCTTCGCAAGTTTTTTCTTCGGACTTGGTGGTCTTGACGTGCTTCTTGCAGTATTCGATGATCATAGACAAGATCTTACTTGTTACATTCGGCAAAGGAATGATGGTACTGGCACAATCGTCTTCAATCATGTGTTTGATGGTCTGAGACTCCAACGCCACGACCTCTTCCACCTCGAAGGTCTCGCCATCTGAGCTTTTCAACACTATCTTTGAAGTTGACATGGTTGTCTCTCAAAGCAAAAACAAAACCAAATCCTTAAACCTAAGAGAGATGAGAGTATTTTGTGATATATACGGAGCAAGAGCAAAGAAATTTGAAGGATTGCAGAAGCAATCTGATATTTATAGCACTCAGGTAAATTAGGTAATCATAATAACGGAACCCTAATCCCACAAGGAAAAGGAAACCTACTAGTATTTAGGAAAAAACTACAAAAGGAAACCAACGCGGAAATTAAAAGAAGATAACTACTTCTGTTTGTGGCCAGTTCCGCCTTCCTTCAAACATAATATCAACGACCTTGGATTCTAAGATTAAGTAGTCAGTAGCTCCATTGGGAGCCTTTTTACTGATTTTGGGCCAAATTTGTTTAAATGGGGTATATTTCAATGGGCTTGCCGAAATTTTGTCCAAAAAATCTGAATCGCCCAATGGGTCGTTTGGCGACTGCGGGCTTGCTTCCAATTTTGTGTTTTTTTGTTTTTTAAAAAAAGGCTCAGACCCTGTTAGAAGGATATTAAGGGCTGTTTGGCTGAGAAATATACCAAAAATCAATTTGTTTAATTTTTTTTAGTCTTTTTTTTTTTTTTTTTCCCCTCACCAATACTGAGATTAAAGAGCCGTTAGGCACCCAAAAAAATAATTTTAACTTTTTTAAAAAATAATTATTTAATTTCTTTTATTACATAACAGATATTATATTGCTTAGTTTCTTTTTAATATTGCCATTTTAAATATAGCCCTGAAAAAAAACATATTAAATATTAAAATATAACTAGTATTTTTTAAGAGCGAAAGTTATTGGAGCACATACAATAACTAAAATTTGAAAAGTCCAACAAGAATGACATGGGTCTTGAAAAATATTGCTAACGTGGCAATTCTGATTTGCCAAAATTTGAGAGCAACTTCAATGATTTTCTATATATATATATATATATATATATATATTTTGTAAATCTATGTCATAGTAGATTTATACAAAAAAAAATTGGACTACTAATTTTTTAACTCCAACCATTATTTTATACTTTTTATGTAAAAATATAGTGTATAGGCCAATAACAACCAACAATGTGTCTGCCAATACATTTTATACTTATTTTGTTTATTAAAATAGAGTTGGCCTTTTAAAAAATCAACATGTTTCTATGATGTGAATGAACTACAGCAAGACTACTTTGTTTAATATATTTAACCTTTTGGATTTTTGGTTCTTCCATTCGTAAGTTTATTGTCAGTTGTGATTTGCCTTTTAAATTCATCTGCTCTGAGTTATTGATTATGTCAACTCATTTAATTAATTCGGACATTTTCATGGAGACTCAAAAAGTGTAATCGGATGTGACTCCTTTAACTAAATGTATCATGTACCCAGCTTAGTATCTTACTCATTTTTTATATTCATTAATATATTTTCTTTTATTATGGGTGTTTTTGATAATTCATAATTTCACAATGAAACTCAAGTATGTTAATTATGTTATTTGTAAAGATGATATGGAAGTCATTTTTTAAATATTCATTCAATATATATTTTTTTTATTTATTATATTTTCATTTTATAATGAAGAAAAATGTTTTAAAAGTTTTTAATGGTTCATGTCATACAGGGGCCGAATCAATTGTGGGCTAACCTAGACTATAGCCTAGGTTCCAAAATAAAATAAAAATAAATTAATTAATTAATAAATTAGTACCATTATTTTTTATCAGCCATAATCTAGCCCAATCAATTTGCCCAATCTATAACAAAACATATGATAACCCAGTCCACTCAGTCTGCCCAATCTATAATAAAACATTGAGGACGCTAAAGACGGCTTGGGCCTGACAATTGACAAGGGCCCATACTTGACGTCCACAAAGCAGACCAGGTGTACTGGACTGATTAAAAAAGGGCTCCAGGAGGATTTAGGCCCATAACTACTAAACCTTGAGGATAGGCCCAACAGCGAAAATTAGTGAAGAAGGCTCTAGAGTAATGTAAATGATCTATAAATAGAAAGGAGAAAGGAGGAAGGAGGGGAGAAAAAATTTTGAAGTGTAATGAAATTCTGTCAACTTAGAGAGAGAAAATTCATGCATCTTCAATGGCGCCGTCTGTGGGAAACGAAGAGGATTGATTGATGATTCACTCAAATTGACTTGATCTAGTAAGCGCTTGAGGACGCGGCCTGATCGTTGAAGGCAGAGTTGAGATCGATGAAATTGAGACGGGAGAAATTGGCGTTTGTTTTAGGCAGTTCAGCTTTTGTGCTTGTTTTGGAGAGTTGAGCGGTCAAGAGCCGCTGAAATTGCCGAATTTGGCAAGTTCATTGCCGGAGCAATTCAGATCTGGTTAGTCATACTCAACATTCAGCTGCACTAGAATCCAGATCTAGAGCGTCGGCATCGGCAAAACTCAGATCTGATATGAAATTTGCGGTTGATGACTTTGCTACGATCCGAAATGATGATCGGAGAAGAGAATTCGAATCCAGAGGAGAATAATCAGCAGATAAAGCTTGACGAATTGATGAACATGATCGAGGCACTGAGAAAAGAAAATGCAGAGTTGAAAGCTGGAATGGAACGTCGAGAGGTTTCGGTTGCGACGCGACCGCCTCCGCCTCCGGTAGGTGAAAGAGGTGTGCGACCTGATGACGCACATCAAGGTGAGCAAGAAGGAGATAACCGCGTCAATCTCCACCGCGAGGAGGTTAGGATGGAGAATATGCCGCCAAATGCTAGACAAGCCGAGGATCGAGAAGGATCTATACATCTCGATCCTCATCGTGAGCATATCAGGCAGGATGACAATACAGCCCTCAATCCGCATCAGGATAGGCACAATCGCGAACAGGATATGGAGTTTGATTGTCACAAGGTTAATTCACCGTGGTTTACGGAAGAAAGGTCGGTCGATCCGCCTTATCGGCCTTCAATGGCCACCTATGATTATAGGAGTTCGAAAAGAAGATCTACAGACCACAGAGTTGTCACAAGGTTTGAAAGAGAGAATGAAGCCTTCCGTTCGGCAGCACGGACGGTTGATTCACCGTTCACCGATGAGATCTTGAAAGCTCCGAGCCCGAGGAAGTTTTCCATGCCTATTTTTATTCTTTTTGATGGAACGACCGATCCGATTGATCATGTCTATCACATTTAGTTGAAGATGGCACTGAACACAGAGAACGATCCTTTGATGTGCAAGTGTTTTCCTACAAGCTTAGCTGGACCAGCGCTCAATTGGTTTAAGAACCTCTCAAGGGGCTCGGTAGACAGCTTCCGTAGCTTGTGTGATCGATTCATAAGCCAATACTATGGGAATAAACGCCCGGCAAAAGATATCTCCAGCTTATTCACCATGAAACAACATAATGACGAGCGTCTCCAAGCTTTCCTTACTAGGTTTAACTTGACCAAGAGCATGGTGATAGAGTGCCATCCTTCCACAGTAGTTCAGGCATTCAAGTTAGCTATGACCCGAGGCACACCGTTCCATACCAGTCTTGTGGTAAACACATCGAAGACAATGGACGAGCTGAATGAGAGGGCCGATGGTTTCGTGCACCTAGAAAATGAAGAATCAGTTAACGCTAGGAAGACATCCATCATCTCCAAGGAAGAAAAGTCCAAAGCAAAGATACGGCAGAAGCAAGTTCTTACGCAACGTCAGACCTCCTGGAAGGCAGAGAAGAGGCCTAAAGAGGATGACCTGATTACTCCACTCAAAGTTACACTCGCAAGGCTGTACCAAGAGAACAAAGATAAGTTTTGCCCTCCCTTACCAATTAGACAACCGCTTTAATAGCGGGATCAAACCAAACATTGTGCTTTTCATAGTGATTTTGGTCATCAGACTAATGAATGCAGGAACTTAAGGAGACAAGTGGAGATGCTGATCGCTAGGGGAGAGTTTGCAGGGTATGTTCAAGGACCGGCACAAGAGCAAAGTCGTCTAGCTGAGCAGGTCAAAAGAAATCAAAAATTGAACCCCCATAACACTCAGCCTGTACAGATTATCAACGCAATCCATGGGCGACCTGAACAAACCGTAGAATCTGAGGAATTGCTCCGAACACGCCTCCGCCAAGCGCAAATGAAGAGGCGAGTAGGCAGTGTCAACACACTGCATCAACAGAGTTCGGCTGTACAGATACGGTTTGATAGGACGGACCTGATGCGAGTTCAGATTCTGCATGAGGATCCCTTAGTTGTCAGTCTGACAGTGGCAGAGTGCTTAGTATGCAGAGTGCTTATCAATCTGGGTAGCAGTGCGAATATCATGCCTAGAGTCACTTTTGATCGGCTTGAAATTAAGCCGGAAGAGCTCAAGTCTATTGGAAATCTGTTGTTGGGTTTCGATGGCAAACGAGTCGAACCAGTCAGCACAGTGGAATTGGTGGTTCGCACAGCTGAAAGGGACTTGGTCGAAAGTTTTGTCGTGGTGGAGATCTATCCCTCGTACAATCTGTTGATAGGGAGAGGATGGATCCATAGGGTACAAGGAGTCCCCTCAACCCTACAGCAAGTGATGAAGTGCCTGAGCCCAGATGGGAGCAAGGTGATTGATATCCATGGGGATCAGGTTGCGATAAAGGAGTGCTATTCAGTGACCCTAAGGGCTGCAAGCAAGGGCAAGGCTCCTATCCAACCAGTTGATGGCCAATAGCAATTATAAGAACCTCCCCTCGGCGTGAGCAGGGAGGAGGAGTCCACGATGCTGACCGAAGAGCCTCTAGATGAAGTTCAAATTGATCAATTGAGGCCAGACCGAACCATAAAAGTAAGGTCGCGACTTTCATATAAGGAAAAATGCCAATTAATTGAGTTCTTTTTCTCAAAATGCAGACGTGTTCGCTTGGAGCCATTCAGATATGCCAGGGATCGACCCTTCTGTCTCTTATCACTCCCTTAATGTTGATCCGAACATTAGGCCTGTGAAGCAGAAGCAGAAGAGATTCACCCCGGAACGCAACCAGATCATCGCTGAGGAGGTAAACCAATTGTTGGAGGCTGGGTTCATTCGAGAAGTACAATACCCGAGCTGGTTGTTAAATGTGGTCATAGTACAGAAGAAGAATGGAAAATGGAGAGTTTGTATTGATTTCACCAATCTAAATAAGGCCTGCCCGAAGGATAGCTTTCCACTTCCAAAGATTGATCAATGGTGGACGCTGCAACAGGATTTGAGCGATTAACTTTTCTTGATGCTTATTCAGGCTATAATCAAATTCCTATGGATCCGAACGATGAAGAAAAGACTTCTTTTATCACCGAACGAGGGATCTACTGTTACAAGGTCATGTCGTTCGGATTGAAAAATGCTAGGGGTACATACCAAAGGTTGGTTAGCAAAATTTTTAAAGAGCAAATGGGCAAAACAGTGGAGGCATACATTGACGATATGGTGGTAAAGAGCAAGCAGAATGGACATCACTTGAAACATTTGCGAGAAGTGTTTAATGTATTAAGAAGGTATAGAATGAGGTTAAATCCGATAAAGTGCTCGTTCGGCGTGGGGTCAGGGCAATTCCTTGGCCATGTGGTCAACAACAGAGGGATTGAGATCAGCCCAACCCAAGCAGAAGCCCTGCTTAACAATACAGAACTGTGCACTATTAAAGAAGTTCAAGCTCTTACCGGGCGCATAGCGGCATTGAGTCGGTTTATTTCCAAGTTATCTGATCGGTACAAACCATTCTTTGATATAATCATAAGTCACGGAAAGCAATGTTGGGGGAATAAGCAGAGGCAGGCACTGAACAATTTGAAAGAATATATGCGGAACCCACCAGTCTTAAATGCCCCAAATCCAGGTGAAAAACTCTTCTTGTACCTCGGAGTGTTTAGCGTTTCAACCAGCGGTGTTCTGATCCGGTGTGCTGAGGGTAAGCAATTCCCAGTCTTTTATGTAAGCAAAACATTGGCCGAGTCAGAGCGAAGATATTCAAAGGCCGAACGGGTAATCTTGTCTTTAGTAAATGCAAAAAGGAAGCTCATGCACTATTTTGAATCCCATCCAATAGTCGTTCTGACCATATTTCCCATAAAGGTGATCTTGCATAAGCCCGATCTGTCCGGACGAATGACGAAGTGGGCGATAGAGTTAAGCTCTTTTGATATCACGTATTAACCCCAAACAGCCATCAAAGGGCAAGCAGTGGCTGATTTCTTGCTAGAGTGTGATGTGGAAGAGCCCGAGGCCTATTCGGAAGAATCCTCATGGAAGCTCTTCGTTGATGGCTCCTCAAATCAAATAGGGGTAGGAATCGGGATCAAATTGCAAACGCCAGATGGCACTGCGCTCAGCCAAGCAGTCAAGCTTGAGTTTAGGGCAACCAACAATGAAGCAGAGTATGAAGCGTTATTGGCTGGGTTAAGGTTAGCCAAGGAACTAAAAGTCAGAAACTTAGTCGCTTTCAGTGACTCACAGCTGATCATTCGGCAAGTGACTGGGGAGTATAGTACCAAAGATGAGACTATGGAGGAATACCGTTCAGCCGTAATACACAAGGCCAAAAATTTCAATAAGATCAAGTTCACGCAAGTGCCGCGGGAGCACAATGCAGATGTTGACCGTTTGGCCTACAGTGCATCGAGCTCGGGTGAGACATTGGCAAGGGTGATCCCAGTTGGTGTGCTTCGCCAACCATCTATATTGGAGCAGTCGACAAGTTCGGACTCATGGCAGGTAAACGTCATACCGTATGAGCCAAGCTGGATAGATCCAATTATGGCATATATCCGAGATGGTGTTCTGCCTGAACAAAGGGATGAAGCAAGAAGGGTCAGATCTAACGCTGCAAAGTATGCCGTGGTACATGACCAATTGTATAGGAGGTCTTATTTAGGACCTTATCTAAAATGTGTAACCCCTGCAGAAGCTCAGCAAATACTGCGAACCATTCATGAAGGCGTATGTGGTAATCATTCAGCGGGAGATCCCTAGCGCACAAAGCAATGACACAAGGGTACTTCTGGCCAAACATATCACGGGACGCGGAATAATTTTCGAGAAGATGTGATAAGTGCCAACGGTACGGACCCCTGATCCACCAACCACTAGAAGACTTGCACGTAATGGCCAAACCATGGCCTTTCGCGCAATGGGGGATGGATGTGGTTGGCCCGCTACCAACCGCCAGGTCGCAAATTAAGTATATTCTGCTCGCAACAGATTACTTCACCAAATGGGTAGAGGAGGAACCGTACCCTAGTGTCACTCAGACTCACGTAAGGCATTTCATTTGGAGTAATATCATTTGTCGGTTTGGTGTACCAAGGTCAATCGTCATGGACAATGGGACAAACCTAGATAGCAAGAAGGTGAGAGAGTTACTAGAAGAATATGGAATTAATCAGAAGTTAGCAGCGGTCAGCCATCCACAGACGAATGGTCAGGCTGAGATCACAAATAGAACGATCTTCGCTTGCATAAAGAAGAAGCTTGAAGACGAGAAAGGGAAGTGGTTGGATGAACTTCCGAACGTTCTGTGGGCATACAGAACGACACCGAGGTGACCGACCGGGGAAAGCCCGTTCGCTATGGCATATGGTACCGAGGCAGTAATACCGGTAGAGCATTAAGTTCCCACTGTTCGAAGCTTTGCATGGAATCAGGAGCAGAATGATCATATGCTGAGGTTTAACCTCAATTTGCTTGAGGAAAAGAAGAATGCTGCGGCAGTAAGACTTGCGTCATACCAGCAAACATTTATGAATAGCCATAACAGGAGGGTGAGGCATAGAGATTTTGTACTCGGCGATTTAGTTCTGAAAAGAAAAGTTGGGATTGTCAAGAAAATGATGTCACATTGGGAAGGACCATATAGAATTGTGGAAGTTGTAGGAAAGGGGGCATATATGGTGGAAACTATGGCTGGAAGGCTGGTAAACAAGCCTTGGAATGCCATATCTTTGAAAAGGTATTATCAATGAAAATAAATTTGTGTTTTAAGCAATATTTACTTTAGAATGTATAATTGCAATGTGACAAAACCTCGAAAGATTGGTAGAAGCATCGCCCTCTCAAAAGAAAAGTGGCTTTTAAGCCGAGCGCTAGGCACTTATGCAAGAAAAGTGGCAGCTGGCACTACAAGCCGAACGCTAAACACTTGCCAAAAAGTAAAAAGCTATGTGGCAAGTGGCGTTCAAGCCGAGCGCCAGGCACTTATACAAGAAAAGTGGCAGCTGGCACTAAGAGTCGAACGCCAAACACTTGCCAAAAAAGCAAAAAGCCAAGTGGCAAGTGGCGTTCAAGCCGAGCGCCAGGCACTTATGCAAGAAAAGTGGCAGCTGGCACTAAGAGCTGAATGCCAAACACTTGCCAAAAAGGCAAAAAACCAAGTGGCAAGTGGCGTTTAAGCCGAGCTCCAGGCACTTCTGCAAGAAAAGTGGCAGCTGGCACTACAAGCCGAACGCCAAACATTTGCCAAAAAGCAAAAAGCCATGTGGCAAGTGGCGTTCAAGCCGAGTGCCAGACATTTATGTAAGAAAAGTGGTAGCTGGCACTACGAGCCGAACGCTAAACACTTGCCAGTCATTAATAGGCAAATGATGCAAAATAAAGTGGTAATTCATTTATACAAACAACTATTGACAAACAATTCAAAGTTTGAAATCATGAGTAATAGAAATCATCATTCTCATTCATAAGGAGCTATGAGAATTACAAAAAAGATGATAAAAAGAAAATATAAGTGCAATCAAGCTGTGCTCGTCTCTTTATTGACTTGTGCAGCCTCATTAACTCGCTCAGCTTCAGCGATCTCCTCTGGGTTGTTATCGTTCATTTCCCCATCAGTGGCTGCAGCTTCATTGTGAGGGGGGAATCCAACTGGGTCACCGTTTCATTTTGCAGGGTTCCACCCTCGGCAATAGGTGCGGATGGAACCACTACTGACAGAGGAATCTGCAAGGTTCCGTCCTCGGTAGTGGTTGCTAATGGAACCATGACAGACAGAGGAGGAGCGTTCAAAGGTGGAGAAGGGGGGGGGGGCAGGAATGACCCCAGAAGATGCAATCTCCTGGCATTCATCAAAGATGCGCTCGGCAGGAGAAGAGTCTGGGTCAGTATAGATTCCTGGAGGATCAATGATGAGTTCATTGTCAATGTCATCCGAAGTGGAACCAGTTTGACCCTCAGCTGGAAGACGGTCGTTATAACCCTCTCTGAATCCTTCGGCGTACCTCAAGGCACCTATTTTGGAGAAGCGACCGTACAGAGCTGCCACCCCACTGTTAATCTTGCCACTAACACCGAGCAAGGCATTGCGCTCATCCAGAACCCTCTTCTCAAAGGCCATGCGCTCTGTTTGTTGTCGTGAAGCAAGCGTTGAAGGTTGTCCCTCTCGGCTCTAAGCGATTCACGCTCGGTCTGCCAGATACTCTTCTCAAGCTGAAGGGCATTTTTCTCGTCCTAAAGGGAGCCTACCTCCTTCTTCAGACCATCCTTCTCAATCTCAACCTTATTCAGTTGCACCACGAGTTCAGCATTCTTGGTGCTAATGATCTTATTCTCCTTGTGACCTACCTCAACGTCTTTGGCAAACTTTCGTGCCTTAACGTTGGCAGCCTCAACATGTTTTTGCATGGCCATCATGCCAAATAGAGTCTGCAAAATAATACATGAATACTAATTGAGCCGAGCTTATGTTCAGAAAAATTGTAAAATGAAGATATTTCTGAGGTGATTAAGACCAGGGTAGGAAATTACCTCCATAGCAGCCAAGGGAAAACGGCTGAACACTTCTTTCTGGGAAAGAGCTTTGGCAACCTCAACATCTTTGGGGGACCACATGTTCTTGTAGTAGGCCATGGCGGTTAGGCCATCTTTGAACATGGTGTCGCTCGGTTTAACAACCGATCCATCTGTTCGGACGAATTGAGGAGTCCATGGAGCCTCACCAAAGGTAGAAGTAGTGGCCGTGCTAGTTCCAGAAGGTGCGATCGGTCTAATCTGGGGGGGAATGGGCACATTCGGTCCTGAAGTCCGAACCCTCCTCGTCGGGGTTGATCATCAGGATTGCCCTCACTGTCAGCTTGGGGCATTTTTCCTCGCTCCTTGTCTTGAGCAGGTGCAACAGGGGCAGAGGGACCCCGAGTCTGAGGAGCGATGCTCAGATTGACAGAAGGAACATTGATGATTGGATTAGTGTTTATTGCATTTGGAGTCGTACTGGAGGTGGTAGCAGAGGACGACGCTGAGGCTGAAGAGGAAGAAGCTGCAAGAGTCGTCAGAGCTCTAGGAGGAGCCTTCTTCCTACTGAAGGAAGGGATCTGGAGTTGACTCATTGTAGAACCAAGGACTGAAATGTCACTAAGATTTTCAGAAAGTGAGAAGCTTCGAACAAGAGGGGACGTTGCTCAGCATGTGTTCCTTTAAGTATGTGATCCTATCCCTATAAATGCTGTAACTGAGTTCATTATCCAAATTGATACCCAGGGATTGCAAAGAAAAGAACAAAAACGGGGAATGCAAATTTCAAAGGGCAGTCAGCCTTATGAGTCTTGAACTTCTTATAAGAAAAGACTGAGCATTCGCCAAAGGCGTTCGGGATAGGGTAGTCATTGGCTGCTAGAGCAAACCAAGCTCCCCGAACCCCAACAACGCCTCTTTTCCACCCTTTTTCAGATTTAAGTTTGTCCATACAGATGGACATCTTCTCGAACGGATATAAATGATAGTAAGCCTCATCCAACCTAATCTTGATAACTTTGTAGCAAAGGAGAAGATCGATTAAATCAAGATCCAAACCTCTGTCGCGATTCAGAAGCAATAGAACGGATAGAACCCTAAAAAAGTTGGGGTTGACTTCAAGAAGAGAAATCTTCAACCTATTGAATACATAACAAAAGAAAGGATGCAAAGGGAATCTAATAATATTCAAATGATGGAGGCAAAATAAGGTTTCACCGGGAAGAAGGCTTTTACCAGTTCTGATGTTTACATCTGCAGGGCATTTCTTAACATGAATACTACTGGAAAGGTGGAGTTTCATGCGAAGAATATCTAGATCGATGGGCATGGTGAAAGATACTATAAGCCTTGACAAAGAATGCAGAGATTTTAGGGGGGGAAGGGCAACAAGACTATCCTCAGAGAATATCGCAAGGAAACTGAGGATGAAGAATCTTTTGCAAGACTCGCCGAAGAAGATGAAATTTGACCGAAAAAGATGATGTTCGCCTTGAGAAAGTAGATTGAATTGATTGACAGCAAGATGTGAGTGATGCGACAAGAAAAGTTTTAGTCGTGGAAGAAGGGTATTTAAAGGGAAAGTGGTCCCATTTGCCGAGACGTCAGGAAGCTGAAGGGATTTGAATTTCAAAAAGGGCATTCATTCCGAGGCCGACCGCTCGGTGCCCCACACAATCGTCTTGAGCCGTCGAATCATCATAAGCCGTCAGGTCATCATTGAGCTTTTAAATAATCACACCCTAATCAATGAGGGAGTGATTATTGGGGCAGTTGAGGACGCTAAAGACGGCGTGGGCCAGATCCAACTCACATAACGAAGTATGGGCCTGACAATTGACAAGGGCCCATACTTGACGTCCACAAAGCAGACCGGGTGTACTGGACTGATTAAAAAAGGGCTCCAGGAGGATTCAGGCCCATAACTACTAAACCTCGAGGATAGGCCCAGCAGCGAAAATTAGTGAAGAAGGCTCTAGAGTAATGTAAATGATCTATAAATAGAAAGGAGAAAGGAGGAAGGAGGGGAGAAAATTTTTTGAAGTGTAATGAAATTCTGTCAACTTAGAGAGAGAAAATTCATGCATCTTCAAATATAAATGATAAATAGAGTGCAGGCCAAAAACTAAGGCCAAACTCATTAGGCTGGGCCAACCGTTACAGACCAACACATGGACGAATTGCGTCCATTCATTTCAGTTGAAAAAAAAGACATATACTCTAGGAACCCATTTCTAAATTCCTCTAAATGT